ATTATTACGATAACATTTGACACAGTTGTAATGCCAAATAGTATAGCTGGGTATATGACAGATTGTATTAATTTAAACAGTGATCCTTGTATATAGAATAATGTAGCTTAATTGGCATCTACTCCATCATATGCCTACATAGGCATGCCTCAGCTAAACATGGTTTGAGAGAATTTATTGACATATATCAACTGCTATTTTCATACGTTTGTAATATTTATTCATATATATAACAGTGGTGTAACTTCACTATTTTTACCACTTGCCAGCTCTCACTCTCGGGGCAAGTAGGACAGGAAAATTAGTTGCCTTTGAATATAAAAATTCACTTGCCATTGGACAATGGCTACTGGGATACCCAGGTGGAGGATATAAATTAAGGGGACAACATGTTGATTCGTCAATATGGCTATATGTTATACTGCCTCAATCAGATCCTAGCTTTGGCCCACAAAAAAAAATTGAATCAAGTACATGCACTATAAAAAATGTATCTGACAATGAAAACATGCCTGGCAGCTTTTTGTGGCATGGCAACTAGCTCAATCAGACAAGCAAGATAAAACGTTTACTTGCCCGTCATGATATTTATTTGCCTTGGGGAAGTGTTAAGTGAAACCTCTACAGGTATAAGTGGGTCCGCTTAGATTAAAACATCAATATGATGTGTTGTGTGGCAACTTGATTCATGGATGTGTACTGAAGACAGTTAAAGTCCTTAGTTTGCTTGTTCAAACTTATGAGTATATTTATATAGTTACACCACCTGCATGATCTGCTTAATAATATATGTAACAACTTTGGGCTACATTTTATATATTTTACAGACACCTCGGCAAGGGTCTTGAGCATGTTTTTTTTTAATTATACCCATGAGCCAATTTTCAGCAGTTTGTTAAATGTTATTTTCTCTAATGGCGGACAATTTTATTTGTCAAGGGAAGTGTCTAGCTAGACTGCCCATGTTTCGTGTTGACATATTTAGATGCAATTTTCCCTAACACTACCCACTTAACTATTTTGATATTTAACTTTGATGTATGTCTCGCACAAGACAATTTTACTGATCGACTGTGGACTGCTTGCCCAAGTATCACCTATTTGTGTACCTAAGGAGTAATTATACAAGATATGTCAAACTGGATAGTTATATCCATAGGCGTTATAAAAGTCATGTCAATATTCTCTTGCCTTTTATTGATATACAATATATTTTCCCACAACACAGCACTATATGTGCATCAATGTAGGATTTACAATTTTACATCAATGTTGGAATTGATTATATTATATAATATTAGCCATGTGAACATTATTTTGTGTGACCCTCATGTGACCACTGTTGGCTTAATCTTATTCCAGCATTGATTAATAAAGACATCCCACAGGTTGTCTTCACTGCGGAGATCATGTTTCAGTTTCTCTCATTGCAAATGATCCCATAAATTCTCAATAGGATTTAGGTCCTGAGATTAGGGGTGCACCAGAACCAATTTCTTAAATTCTTGCCGGAACTGGAAAAAAGTTCTGGCTGGAACCAGAACTGATTTATTAAGCCATATATAGTCATACGTTACTTTGTCTGCTGCCAGACAGTCAGATACTTCAAGTCATCAAGGAGAGTGTGGGCAAATGGAATAAAAATATTGAAAAATGTTCCTTGTGTAGTCCAAATTTCTTCCTACTGTGAACTTTTGTTAGACACAAAAACGTTTGATATTCTATCTCTCTGAAAATAACAAAGTTCCTGTGCAGGTTCCGGCCGGTACAGGAACTTTGAAAAATCGGGGTTCTGGCCGGAACCGAGTTCTGGTGGACCCCAACCTGAGATTGAGGAGGAATATCCATAACAACCAGATCACCCTTCTCTTGCTTCCTTCTTATTCAAGTTTTACACATGTGAAAATCTCCTCCCACTCAACCTAAAACCTTAATATGGTATGGTTTGGTTTGTCTTTAAAGGATGGAGTGACATTTTTGTTTCGTAAAAATTATTTAATAATTAGGGAGCAAAAGGAAAGCAATTTTCCCTAACACTCCCTACCTTAAGTACTCTGATATTTAAATCTGACGTATATATGTTTCCCGAGAGATATTTTTACTTATCGACTGTGGACTGTTTGCTAAAGTATCACCTATTAATACTCAAGGAGTAATTGCACAAGATATGTTGGGTAGTTATATCCTATACCTGTCACGTTTTAGGAAGAGTTACTATTTTTAGAATTTGTAATTTTGTATTCTTTTGTATTTTAAACTTAACCCCAATCATAACCCTAAGCCTAACCCTAACCCTTACTCCAAGCCAAACCCTAATCTCAATCATAACCCTAATCCTAATCCTTTCCCAAATCCAAACCCTAACAATAAAAGTCTAAAAATAGTAACTGTTACTAAATCATGACTCATATGTATTAGATTTAAATTTCACACAACGACAACAACAATGTAATCATACTTGTGATCACTATAACATATATCGACAACAATAGTATAATCTAATTAGCACCAACGAAGCAAATGACAGATTAAAAAATCTGTTGTCGCATAGACCAATCAGATTTCCAACCGAAATACGGTTGTACGGCATGGACTTTTGTTAATTAAGGTTTGTATCAAGCATGTTTATTTATTTATAGGCCTGATCGTGATATTCCCCACCTACTGTAGATGCACTGTAATGTGAAACTGTGTTAACTTACATGAAAATTTGTCCATTGTTTTCCAGAACATGTAATGGGTGTTAACAATACAACAATATGAGCTGTCCTGTTTACAAAGAAGACATTATAAAAGCAATAAAATTCAAGCTGGACAACAAAGAGTAGGAAAGGAAGAGCAATAAATTGAACAAGAAACTGAGATTAGTTGACATACATTGCTTTTTATATGGTTCCTAATTCAAAAAAACTGATTATATTTAGTATTATTTGTTCATTTATTTAATATATTTATTAAGTTCTTTGTATGATTGCATGGCAATAAAATAT